GGAAGCCCTTGACGCGCTTGCCGATCGTGGCGGGCGCGGGCGGGTGGGAGGTCGTTGCGGGGTGCTGCAGATGGGCCTCACGCTCGCGGAGCGGGGTCGCCGGTGCCATTTCTGCGTCTTCGCCGTCAGCCGAGTCGAAGCTGGAATCTTCTTGCTGTTCCTCTTGCTGCTCCTCTACAGAGGCGTCTTGTCCGTCCGCAAAGCTCACGTTAGCATCCTCTCCACTTTCATCCCCTTCCTCCTCCTCCTCCGTGCTGGCCATAGGTACCGGACCAGCACTGACTGCCACTGCCTCCTCCAACAAATGCGAATATCTCGGCGCAAACAACGACCCCGGCACGCGCCGCCGCCTTGCAGGCTCCGGTGTAGGCGGGAGGTTGCTGAACGGCGCCCCAACACTAACGGGCGGCGGCAGCCTCGCCCGACTTGCGCCTGGGCTGCCGGCGCTAATGCTATTGGCGAGCCCGCTGCTGTTGACGAGAGCAGGCATCGCACGTCCACCGCTGGCGCGCGGCGGCATCGCGCGTTTGCCCAGCGGCGTAAAGTCCGGCACGACCATCGACGCGCGGCGGCGCTCGCTCGTGAAAACACTGTTGTCGTCCAGAGAGGCGGCGGAGGGCGTAGGTGGCGCAACGTGCCCTGCACGCTGCTTGTTCTGCAGGGCCCGCGCGCGCTGCGTCAGGCTCTCCCTGTAATTCGCGGAATATCGTCAGCAAACCGATTTCGAAGATGCGGAAGAAAGGAAAACTCACACATCCCACGCATCTCCCCACTTCCCGACAACCCGCTCCCCACCCATGTGCGTGACGAACCGGCGCACGACCGCACCCAGGTCCACCGCGTCCGCAGAGGCCATCATGACCGCGGGTCCGCCGTCGCCACTGGCGCTGGTAGAGGCTAGACGCATAGGTGTACGCGGCGCCGGCGCCGGCGAAAGATTGAGCACCATCCCCAGTCGCGCAGCGACCGCGATCCGCTCGTCCGTGAAACACGCGTCGAGCGCCTTCCAGTCCGCCTTAGCCCACTCCCTCGCCTCCTCCCCCTGCGCAGGCTCGTCGCATTCGTCGTCCGATTCGGGCAACGGCACCCCGCGCGCAGACGTCCGCCTCGCCGACGCCGAAAACGAGATTGACTCCCCGCCCTTCGCGCTCCGACTCGGCGACACGACCCCCGCGCTTACCACCTCCCTTTCGGCTTCCTCTAGCAGCTGCGCAGTCGTCACCGGCGCCGGGCTCCCGGGGAAGTACACCCGCTCGCCCACCACGCGCGCAGGGGTGTGCTCCCGTTGCTTCTCTTCCCTCTCGGCCTTCGATTCCTCCGCCTTGCCCTTTCCCTTGGAACCAGAGCTGGACTGCTCATACGCAGCCCGCAACACAGCGATATCCTGCATCCTCCCCGGAGTCTTGCTCCTTGCGGGGGACGCGACTGCCGCCGACGCCTTGCTCACGCCCGCGTAAGAGTGGCGCCTCTTCGCGTCCTTGCCATTCAGCCGCAGACGCGTAAAGCAGTCGTAATCGTGCTGCAGAAAGCAAAAAAAAATCAGCAAAATTCAGAGGCAAAACAAAAGAAGAGACGGCGCGCCCACCTGCTTCAAAATCGCCGCAGCCCTCGCCGCCGCGCGCGGGTCCGCACTCGTAATCTTCACCAGACCCAGCAGCGCCGCCTCCCGTTCCTCCTCGTCGTCGTCGCCACCATCCGCACTCGCACTGGAGTCCGCGCTCACGTCCCCGATGACGCTGGGCTCGTTGTGGTCCGGGAGCTCGACGTCCTCATCTTGGGCCCGGTGGGATTGCGCCTGCGCCCCGCCGAATACCGCCTCGTCATCCAGATCCGCGGGGACGAAGCTCGCGCGCCCCTTGCCCAAAGACTGCCGCGGCGCCCCGCCGCGCGTCGGCGTGTGCGGGACCGCGACGCGCGTGCCGAGGGCGGTGAGTGCGTGGGCGGTGGCGTCGTCGTCTTGGCCGTTGGAGTGCGCGGACGTATCGGCGTCGGCGTTCGGGTGCTCGTGCTCTTGTTGGTGCGAAGACGCCGCGTCCCCGGCGGGCGGCATGCGCACATCCTCGCCCTCGTGCCCTTGTTCGCGGACAGCAACAGCCGCAGGCGGCGCACGCACCTCCCGCTCCCTCACACCCCCCACCATGCGCTCCGAGCGCACAGGCACATGCGGCGCGCGCCGCGCGGGCGGGGTCTGTGCGTGTGCGGCGTGCGCGCTGGTGGGCGTCTGTGGCCGTTGTCCGGGCACTGGCCCTGGTATCGCGAACGAGGCGCGGGTGGGAGTCTGCGGGTGAGATGGAACTGGGGCGCCAAAGTCGAACGCGCCAGACACGGTGTCGACATCCTCCTCCGCAGGCTCGGGCTCGGGGTCGACGCTCATTGCGCGCACTTCTTCCTCTTCCGCTGCTTCTTCATCCTGTTGTTGTTCTTGTTCCTCCTCGCCGTCGTCTTGATCCATCCGCGGCTGCTGCTGCGGTCTCGCAGGCTCAGTCGACCCGGACCCGGACCTCCTCGCCGCCCGCCTCTGTGCGTCCTCCTCCCGCAACGCGCGCAGGAAGGAGACACCCTCGTCCGCGCTGTCTTCCTCTTCCTCGTCTTGTACTTCCTCTCCCCCTTCTGCCTCTCCATTGGCGTGCACTCCGTTCTCAGCGTCGTTGCCGTCGAGCTGCGTCGGCACCGAAAGCGGCGCACCACCGACGGCACCGATGGCGCGCAAACTTCGCCCGTCCATGCGGAAGCTGCCTTCGCCGTCGCTGTCGAGCGGGCCTCTGCGGAAAAACAAAGCAAGTCAGCTGAGCTCGACGACAAAACATGACGAGAAAACGCGAGGAGTGGGAAACCGCGCAAAGTATCGAACGCGAAGAGAACACGGCACCCACCTCCCGGGCCACGGGCTCCCCCACACGCCCCACTGCGCCGCGCGCGCAGCCGTGCGTGGCGTCGGCGGGTCGCGCTTTGTCGCGGTGAGGAATTCAGAGTCTTTGTCTCCATCTTCGGCTTGGGCTGGGGGCGTTGCCGGACGTGCGGGGGTCGCCGCACGCGCCGGGCGTGCTGAGGGGGCGGCGCTAGGGGGCGGCGCGGTGGCAGCGCGCGCTTGCGTTGTAGGCGTCGCGCTGGCAGCACGAGTACCAGCAGGGGTGCGCGCGCGCGGCGTAAACGACAAGACCGCAGCTGTGCCGAAGCCTGCGCGGGTGGGGGTGGTGCTGGTGAAGGAGAGCGTGGGGCGGGGGCGCGAGGTGGAGGGGGCGGTAGTAGATGTGGGGAGGGCAGGCAGCGCGCCCTCGTCGTCCGAGTCGGAGTCCCAGCCAGTGGGGGCATTGTAGTCGTCGTCGTACGCAACATTGGGGTCGGTAGAAGCAAGGGAGAGGGACGGGAGGGTCAAGGACGCAGGGGGGAGCGGGCCGTCGAAGGACGCGGGCACGTCGAGGTCCATCGAGTCGGAGCTCGCGTCGTCGTCTATACGCGGTAGAGTTAGATTAGCGAAATGAAAGTTAGTTGTGGCGCACCTTGGGGCAAGCCCGCGGTCCAGTCGAACGGGGCGTAGTCCGCGTCGCTCGAGGTCTGCGGCACACGCGTGCGGTTGCGCTTAATGGGGCTGGAGGAGGAGGGGAGGAGGAGCAGCGGGTCGTCGGTCGGGCTGGGGGGAGTCATGGGCCGGGTGAGATCGATGGGCGGGAGGGGCTCCTTCTTGACGCTGTGCACGACGACGCGCAGGGGCGGGGCGCGCGACACGGGGGTGCCGGTGCGGGCGCGGGGCTTGGTGGGGCGGGCGGAGGAGGCAGGGAAGGCGAGGAGGACCTCGCGGGGGGGCGTGAAGACGTCTGTGGGGGGCTCGTAGGGGGTGATGCTGCGGTGGCGGGTGGAGGACGCTGCGGCGGGGACGGCGAGCGGGACCCAGTCTGCGTTGGGGTTGGTACTTGGGCGGGTGGGCGAGTCATTGTTGGAGAGCGCGCTGCTGCGGCGGCGGTGGGTCTTGCGGGGCTTGGGGTTGGGAGTAGTCTGCGTCTTGGACGGCGTATTGGCTGCTCGTTTGCGTTTGGGCTGGGGAACGCTGGTGTTGGTCTGCATGCAAGGGTATAAGCCGCGTGCAGGGTGGCATTCTGGACAACTGACCCTTGCAGACCCGAATACAATTGTGCGCTGCAGCTCTTCTTCTGGGGGCGGGCTGATGAGCATTCTGGCGGGATCCATAGCAGCAAAGTCCTGCTTCAATTGGGGTTCGTTGTTCTCGTTCATTGCAACAAGGTCAACCACCACGTGATCGTCTCGCTTTGATCCCATTCCGCCCACGTTTTTCTGGGCTGCATCAAACTTCGCACGGTTGCGTTCTCAAGCCCCATGTTCGAAATTTCGTTACGATTCTACGCAACGGCGCGAAACACCTCGTTCACCGACGAATTGCCGTGACCGTACGTTGTATGAAAAGACGGCAAGGGGCATAAATTCATCAGAAACTATGCTTCGCCGCAGTACGATGCTCGCGCGCGCACGCCGCCAGTCCAACTCCGAGTTACATAAGGGTTGCGCGCTACGCCGTAGCGGTACGCGTGCATTACCCCACATGCGTCGCATCGCATAAGCGAACGCGCTACCAGCTGCGCCAAGAGCCCGGTGTGATCGGAACGTGCCAGGCAGAAACCAAGCGCAGAGAAGGAACAATGTTGAAAAGGAGACGCTAGAACGACGGTTCGAGCGAAACGAAGGTTCTTTTGGGCAGAGCCAGGGTTTGAGTCTGAATCCAAGAAAAATGCCGACATGATTGAACTTGATAAAGATTCCCACGGTTGCATTTTCAACAATTCGTGATCGATGCATACATACATCCTCGAGAGCAGCAAATGGAGCACTGGCTTTTGGAGGATAGACTGGTCGACCGTCCGAAGGTAGGTGACCAAAAAAAGAAAGTGCTACAAATTCGCAGCAACGCACGGATCCGATCACCAATCGATGGCATCGATTCCAGCGCAAAGGCAACGCGTACCGAGCTCGGGGGATCCAAAAACATGTGGACACTGTAGGAATTGAACCAACGACCTTTCGCATGCATTTATGTTGCACCCCATGCGAAGCGAACGCGCTACCAGCTGCGCCAAGAGCCCGACGAGCAGAGGCCGGCGGGATATGAACCTGAGGTCAGGAGGACTAAGAGATGTTGAGAGGCTGGCTTGAAAGAAGAGAGCAAGAAGGCAGGGACCTGCAGTTACTGGAGACTGGACTGAGGTGTTGATGTCAGCCACCGAGCGAAAGAGAAAGACACGACGCCCGGCTGCCGCAAAAGTTCGGCACCGATTCGATTGGTTCGTTGCCCGGGCACAAGAATCAGTGCAGCTTAGTCTCTTGCACTGACTTCCCACTCGCAACCTCATAAGCGCAGCTCAGGGGGGTCAGATAACTCCAGCGAGAGGCTCGCTTCAAATTCCTTGAACGGGGCCGTGTAATGAGCAGCTTACATATATTTATTTTGCTGTACTAAGTGAATCTGTGCGGCTGGCCGACAGCCGTGTGCAATTCGTCCAACGAAACTCTTGAAATTTGAGGTAAATATGCCACTCGGTATGTCCCGCAAATGCTCTAGGGTCTTTGTCATATTGCCTTTCAGTTGTTTTGAATGAATCTGAACCAGTCCGAGATGCGGTCCAGCGAATCGACGATACGAACGCGAACTCGCGTGACAGCTGGTGTGGTCTGTGACACCAGGAATTTGGGACTCTGAGCATATTGCGGCGAGCCTTCCATCCGTGAAGCCCAGAGTCGGGTTGGCCCAGATAAAATGAAGTTGGATGAGTATTACAACTCAGAGATGGGCATACGTCTCAAATCGAGGGACTTCGTTATTAGCATCTAATATCTTGTCTCGGCGCAGCTATGTATACGCGGCCCACAGACACCCTGCAGAGCGATGAGCAGCTTACATGTATTCATTTTGCTGTACTGAATCCATACGGCTGATAATCAACCTTGTACCCCAACGGGACTGCTGGAGTTCGATGTATACTATGTATACGTACCGCTCGGTATTCGAGTGCTCGCAAAGCTGTAGTGTTTCCGTCGCGTCGTCTTTCAGTTGCTTTGAACGAATCAGTCCGAGACGCCGCAACGAATCGGCGAATGCGACACCTGGTGTGGTATCTGGCACCGGGAATTTTGAAATTTGGTCTCCTTTGGTGCATATTGTCATGGCCCGGCGAGTCGTCCATTCGTAAACTTGAAGCTGAGAGTCGGAGTTGCCGCAGGAAGTTCAGCGAAATTGAATGCATACAACCCAGAAATATCAGTATCACGATCTTGGAGGGCGGCGAAAAAAAAAGGTAGCCTCCGAACGAAGATGCTGGCGAGGGAAATCATGATGGAAGAGCGCTTGGGGACCGCCGGCCATCAAAACATAGGCTCGAGTTTGATGCCCGCCAATTCGCTTTGCCACCCGTTTCTTTCCAAGCATTCACCTGAATCTCCATCGCGCGCGAATCCGACGCGACTCGAGTTGGCACATTTCAAGCAAGTTGTCCAATGAATTACACGGATGGAGCTCTGACGCGGCATGTTAGATATACAACATGTCTACTACATCCTCCCGCGCCGCCGACCGCGCCTACATCGCAGAGATCGACTCCCAGATCTCTTCCCTCAAGGAATCTATCCAGGTCTTAGAAGGCAAGAAATTGCGCGCACAGGAACGACTCAATTCATACGCGTACCCGGTGTTGAAGCTGCCCAACGAAATCGTCTCCGAGATCTTCATCCAATTCCTTCCAGTGTACCCTTTCCCACCACCCATGTTGGGACCTCTATCACCGACATTTCTGTCGCATATCTGCCGCAGATGGAGAGAGGTTGCCCTATCCACGCCCATGCTCTGGAGAGCAGTCTCATTACCGGACTGCGACCAATATGTTGTGCGTCCTCAACTCGAGCTTTGGATGAGCAGGTCTGGCTGCCTACCGCTTTCCATCGACATGGAGGAGATCGAAAACACTTTGGATGAATCATGCCTTGAGCTGCTCGCTCTTCATTGCGCACGATGGGAATACGTCACATTGGATGTCTACAGTGAATCCGAAGTCCTCATCATCCAAGACCCAATGCCCTTACTCCGCCAATTCGAGATCCGGGTTCAGACACCTTGCCTTGCTCCCCGACGCCGTGCCCTACGTTTTTGCGAGGTCCCTCGGCTGCGCTCAGTGACCCTGTGGGATGGCATTAGCCATCCTATTGATCTCTTCCCCTGGTCTCAATTGACATCGTTGACGTCGATACACAGTCCAATCGAAAATACAGCGATTTTACAGCTCGCCGTCAACCTCGTTCATTGCCATTTGATGCTTCGGCCCGGAGAAATCCCGCCATCCAATGTTCGCCTTCGGTCTTTGGAATCCTTGGTTTTGGCGCAGATGTGGGATGATGACGACGCAGTGACACATTACCTCGAAACTATGATCACCCCTTCACTCCGCACGCTCGAAGTTCCCGAGGTATTCCTGCAGCCGAGCCCCATCGATACCCTTCGTCTATTCATTTCGAAATCCGGGTGTCGTCTACAAGGCCTCTGCATCACTGGGCAAGTTCGCTCCGAGGCCGTGTATCGCGACGCGCTCTCCTCTTCCATTCCGCAGCTTTCATTCGACAGGGCTCTGAGTGATTATGATACATACTCTGAGTGCGTTTAGCGGATTTCTAATTTTTCATCCTACTCACCTGGACGTGCTAGAAAATTGGCTCGCAGAAAATACACTGTGTTGTAACCACATTCGGCTGCATTCCCTTTTGTCTCTCACTTTTTCAATGTGAAATTGTTGCGGAATGGTATTCGGCCACCTGTCGGTCAATAGAAATTGCTATTCTCATACTTGATCTCAAGGGAGCAATTTTGCGTACAGTTCGACCATTAACACACGGTTGCCGCTCATTGCAATCGTTGCTATTATTATTGAGCTCTGTCGCAAGCTTGCAATCTTGAAATCGTAGCCTTATGTTCAGAGGACTTTCCTGATCTGAGTTTTCATCCGCATTCACTTCTGCGACCTGCTAGATTGACGAGAAAGACAGTATTATTAATGCAGTCGAGAGTTTTTGTTTCGTCATGTCGTCCTTCAGGGAACGATCAGTCCAGCAAATCGACAATATGAATGCCAATCAGGGTGACGGCTAGTGTGGTATCCAACACCGGGAGTTTGGTTGTGGGTGTATATTGTAGCGAACCGTCCATCTGTGATTTATGAAGCCCAGGCGGTCTTTGGTGCATGAAGTTCAGCAAAATTGAATGAGCATTACTGCAGGCCAGAAATGAGCATAACCCAATGCCTCAGAGCCAGAGAGCGCCTCACAAGAAGGCTTTAGTTATTAGCATCTATCTTGGAGAGCGTTAGTAAGTACTGCAAAAAAAAGGAGGTGGAACTGAGGCAGCGGCCATCAAGGCATTTTGATGGCCGTCGATTTGCTCTTCTACTTTGAATCGACTTTTCCACGTTGCACCGTGCGCACTTGCGTGCGCGAATCCGACGCGACTCGAGTGTCAATGACACATTTCAAGCAAGTTGTCCAATGAATTACACGGACGGAGCTCTGACGCGGCATGTTAAATACACAACATGTCTACTCCATCCTCCCGCGCCGCCGACCGCGCATACATCGCAGAAATCGACTCCCAGATCTTGGCTCTCAAAGACTCCATCCAAGTTTTAGAAGCCGAGAAATTGCGCGCACAGGAACGACTCAATTCATATGCGTACCCGGTGTTGAAGCTGCCCAACGAAATCGTCTCCGAGATCTTCATCCAATTCCTTCCAGTGTACCCTTTCCCACCACCCATGTTGGGACCTCTATCACCGACATTTCTGTCGCATATCTGCCGCAGATGGAGAGAGGTTGCCCTATCCACGCCCATGCTCTGGAGAGCAGTCTCATTACCGGACTGCGACCAATATGTTGTGCGTCCTCAACTCGAGCTTTGGATGAGCAGGTCTGGCTGCCTACCGCTTTCCATCGACATGGAGGAGATCGAAAACACTGTGGATGAATCATGCCTTGAGCTGCTCGCTCTTCACTGCGCACGATGGGAATACGTCACATTGGACGTCTACAGCGAATCCGAAGTCCTCATCATCCAAGACCCAATGCCCTTACTCCGCCAATTCGAGATCCGGGTCAAGAGATCTCGCCTTGCTCCCCATGCCCTATGTTTTTACGAGGTCCCTCGGCTGCGCTCAGCGACCCTGTGGGCCGACATTACTCGTCCCATTGATCTCTTCCCTTGGTCTCAGTTGACATCGTTAACGTCGATGCGTAGTCCAATTGAAAATACAGCGATTTTGCAGCTCGCCGTCAACCTCGTTCACTGCCATTTGATGCTCTGGTCCGATGAAATCCCGTCATCCGATGTTCGCCTTCTGTCTCTGGAATCATTGGTTTTATCGCACATGGGGGATATAGAGGACGCAATGACACATTGTCTCGAATCTATGATCACCCCTTCGCTCCGCACACTCGAGATTCCCGAGACATTCCTTCGGCCGAGCCCCATCCATACACTTTGTCGATTCATTTCGAAATCTGGGTGTCGTCTACAAGGGCTCTGCATCACTGGTGAAGTTGGCTCCGAGGCCGTGTATCGCGACGCCTTTTCATCTTCCATTCCGGAGCTTTCATTCGACACGGCTCTGAACGATTATTATACATACTCTGAGTGCGTTTAAGTGTTCTATAATTTTTCATCCTACTCACCTGGACGTGTTAGAAAATTGGCTCGCAGAAAATACAATGTGTTGTAGACACACTCGGCTGCATTCCCTTTTGTTTCTCACTTTTGCGTGTAAAATTGTTGCGGAATGGTATTCGGCCACCTCTCGGTCAATAGAAATTGCTATTCTCACACTTGATCTCAAGGGAGCAATCTTGCGAACAGCTCAACCATTAGCACACAGTTGCCGCTCATTGCAATCGTCGCTATTATTATTGAGCTTTGTCGCAACCTTGCAACGTTGAAATCGTAGTTATATGTTCAGAGGACTTTCCTGATTTGAGTTTCATCCACAACTTCTTTTTCCCTGCTAAATTGACGAGAAAGACAATATTATCAATGTCTTGGAGTTTTTTCTCTGTCGTT